TAAGGCACTTGACTGCTAACCAGAAGGCTGGTGGTTCAAACCCACCAGCCACTCCTCGGAAGGAAGGTTGGGCAATCTACTTCCATAGTGATACCGCCTCGGCAACCCAAGGAGGGGTCGCTATGACTCGGTTCTGACTCAACGGCACATAACAACAACAACAACAACGGTATTTATACAGTATCCATGTAAAGATGATGGGCTAACCAGAGTCCAGAAAAAAGTAGGTAGTAACGAAATCTTACCTGGCCTAAAATGGCTGAAATCAGAGAGGTTTTTCCACTTCCCACGCTGCCACAGATTCCAACCAGTTTACCCTGGACAAGTACACAGAAAGGACGATCATTCAGAGAATACTGACCACTCATCTCTAGGTGCATTCAATTTCTCTGAGGAGAAACACGTTAACAATAGCCCATCAATGTAGGAACTGTCATCCTGAAGACCAACAAGTCACTCACCTTTGTTTCTCACTTGTTAGCCACCTACTTCAGAGGGTTTCTGTGAGGACATGCTGAGGTAACAGGCATGGAAGCCTTTGAGAAGAATTAAATGTGCCACACACATTACAGTATAAATATCCCATGATCACTTTTAAAAAGGCCAGCCCCTTTCCTACCTCATTGGTAACCTATGTTTTTTATTTGTTTGTTTTTGTTGTTGTGTTTCGGAAGGGAGGGCAGGACTCTTGAACATTATTTTATGCTTTTTCTCCAGGTTTTTCCTATAAATTATTTCCAATAAAAACTGTGTACATTGTTGATTTCATGTTTCTACAAAATATTTCAAAGGATCTGAGGAATACTTATACCATCAATGCCACATAAAAGTAGAAAACCAAGCCTGTGATTAAGTGAATATCCCCAGGCAAGATCATAAATGTTAATGAATAGTGTTAAAAGCTTTCAAGAACATAACAGATGATTTAAGAACAGTCCCTGTTTTACCAACTCTATGCTGGCTCACATCTGCCAGGAAGGGATAAATGAAGAGTGAGGGTGTGGAAGGAGCATGGAGTCTGGAGGCCCAATCCCAACTCCACTACCCCATTGCCTTTGTGTTGATTCTGACTCACAGTGACCCTACAGGACAGAGCAGAACTGCCCCATAGCATTCCCAAAGCTATCATCTTCACAGAAACAGACTGCCACATTTTCTCCTGTGGGGACCACAGTTAACTGAAACTGCAGAAAAGAGGGGACTGCTGTACTTGTTATATGCCAGGGTCTGTGCTGTACACAGCCTAGTGGTAGTGAGAAGCTCACACACAGTTATAATAATGAGAAATAACTTGTATAGCTCCCATGCAATTATAACAATCAGAACCCTATTCAGGTCAAAATCTTGGAAAATCCACTTGAATGCTTCATTTTCCTTATAGAAAATGAGCACTCCATGAGATCAGTTTGTTATTGATTTCAAGTGCTTAAATATTCCTTTTAGAGTTGCAGCTGACCAGATTTGGTCTTTACTTCAAAATTACTCATAGCCACAAGGAACTTTGCTAAAACGAACAGCACCTGCCTGTCGTTGCCATGAGAGTGGCAGGATGGGGATGGGGAGTGCGGGAGGTGGGGTGGGGCAGCCACGTTACCTCTTCGATCTCCAGGTCGATGCTGTACAGTGTCCTCTGTAAGCGGAGGTTGCCTAGGTGGATGTGTTTGCCGTCCTCCTCCTCAGGACTCGGCCGCTCGTCACTATCCAGCAGGAGGTGGCCCTTCTGCTCTGCCAATACCGCCTGATGCTCAGTGCGCTGCAGCTGCCTCACCTTCTCTTTCTTGCCCCTGGCAGCCCTCTTGTCTTTTTTCATTTTGGGGGTCAGCTTGGGTGAGTTCTGGATACTGGAGTGGGAGGAGTCCCATGCCAAGGTGGCATTTTTCATCTCTATCTTGATGTGAGGGCTGGCTGGCTTTTTCTTTATCATGTGAACCTCTTCCATTAGAAACAAACTCTGATAGGAGTTGTGAGAGAGGTGCAAAGATGAGACACTGGATCAAGACCAGGGAAGACAAGCCTAGGGCGCACACTCACGAAGCAAAACACATCAGGCTATACAGTGGAAGGCAGCTGAAGGGCAAAAGGTAGCTCATTAGTGAAGCCCAGGCTCAGGGCCATCCAGGGGTCATGGGAGTGTGGGGATATCCTCAGGAGGTACAGGGAGGGGACTTGGCAACACTTGCCCAACACACCACAATAAAAATTACATGCTCAATTACCTTGTTCTTCCTACTAGCCTAAGGTGAGCCAATGGACATTTAACTAGTGGTATGCAGCCCCTACTCTCACTTATGAGTTAAGAGTAGTACGTTGTTTAAAAAAACAAACATGGCATGCTGAACTCCTGCATAGACCCTCATGACCCTGTTTTCCTCTAGGAGGTGGGAAAGGCCAGCCTGAGATATAACCAGGCCTAGACCGCTAGGATGAGCTAGGATTAGACATGAGTATCTCAGGCTTTACTGACACTAGAGTACACTTTTCCAACATATCCTCATGCCTTCAGAGTCTTGCCTTGGAACTTGTGAGTATTCAAACCACCAAAAGAACAGATTTGCGTGAAAGTGAATGGTATCTGCCTGAGAAACATCCCTTGGGAAGATCAAGACTCTCTCCTCCCACTCCTTCCTCAAGACCCACTGAGTTATGTTAAGGGACGGAAAATGGAACTCTTGAACAAGTGTTTATGAAATCAGCTCTGAAACATTGGCCACAATAAATCACAGCCTAGGACTTCCCCATACAGACTCCGAACCCTCTTCTGAAAACCCTCTTAAAACTGATCTTCTCTACAAAGGAGAACAACGTGGAACAAAACTCAAAATCATTTGGAGGAAAAAAAGGGGGAGGGGACCAGGTTTGCTGGTCCGATAGAGCCTGGTGGAACCACTGAGACTATGGCCCCTAACTGCCCTTCAGGTCTGGAATTGAACCCACACCTGTAGTTTCCAGCCAAACAAAATACAGGCATATGAGTTGAACATTTACCTCAAGAAGATACTCTCCTTGAAAAGAACAATCATGGGAGAAAGAAGGGCTGCTTATACATAGGGAGACAGCTCAGGGGGCAGGAGTCCATGGAGGGATGGACACAGGGAAGAGGTAACTATCGGGAGGAAGTGGGAGGGGAGCTGTTGTATTGTGGTAACTGTGGTCAATGTCATGAGACAAAGTATACGTGAACTGCTGTATGAAAAGTGAATTTGCTCTGTAAATCTTCACCCAAATCACACACAAAAAAAAAAACTGATCTTCTCTACAGAATCCTATCCCAGTTCCATTCTCACTATGATTAAAAAATAGTAATAAAAAGTTTTAAACAGCATTAGAAAGATGACTTTGAGAGTCAGGATTTTTTTTGCTTATTTATTGAGAACCCTGATTATTTTGAAATTTTCAGGTGCTACTAAATGCAATTATGGACAAGAAAAAAATAATCCCTTTCCCCAAGAGCAAACTCTGTCTCCCGGATTCTACATTTCCAAGCGTGTTCTTTCCTTGCTCAAGTCACCACATCTCCTATTCATTCTTAATCCCCCAATGTTCTCAGAAGTGGCAAGTCTCTCAATTTCCTAGATAATCTCCACTACTTGTAGACCTTAGGTTTAGTTCTTGCTTTCAGAAAACAGTTGCTGGTTTCATTTGCTCAGAGCCTTCCTGAGAGACTAAGAATAACATGCCAAGTATTTTGACCACCTTCTCAGAGTACAACCATATGCCGACAGGATTCCTGTCACTTCTCTCCCCAAAGCATTAACAAAAGGACAAAGATTGTCTAGACTTCAACAAACTATTTAAAAATATGCTTGTGCCTACTGGTTCACAAGACTCTTTCCTTTCCCCAGGGTCCCTACAGCCCTGTATGCCTTCCAGCAGTCAGCTTCATGTCACACTGCCCTGAGATGCTAAGGCAGGCAAGAGCCTCATAACAGCTGAATTTCTATCTCCTTGAATTTGCATCCACCAGGCAACTCTACATTGGAGGTGGCGTCCCACTTCCCATCTACAAGTTATCATCCTATTGGATATTTTATATTCCTTTTCTCACCCTTTATCCATACAGCACAAGTATGGGAAGCAACAAGTTCTTCTGCAAGACAGACTTCCAAGGTATGTCAAACAGAGAAAAGACTGCCTGTACTTGCAAACCTAACAGATTCCCAACTTCATTAAAAAAGTGAAAGGAAGTCATGCAAAACAAGACTGCAAAGAGTAAAAAGTAGGTTTTATGGCATCTTCACTGAATTTCAAGGTCCATAAAATAAATCAAAGAAGCAATTCCCCATCTTTGTTAGTCTTTCATCCATCTTGTAGGAAATGAAAGGAGAGCAGATGCTTCTTGGGGAGATATAATCTCAGGAACAGTCTTCCCCTTTCCTTAGATGATCCCCGGGATTGAAGCAGATAGCTTTTATTGAACTCAGAAACGTTAACAATAAACAGTCCCCTCAAATCTAACAAAGTCAATGTAATACTAGTTAAAAGACACCTAAAGATCATGAGAAGAAATGCTTAGAGTTGGGGAGGGATTAAGTAAGAATGTTTGTGCTATGCTAAGCATCTACTTCAAAAAAAAAAAAAAAAGCTGCCATGAGGAGAAAGATAGAAAGGGCATGAAGTCTCATGGGGCATAGAACAGAGCTGTGGGTGATGTTGCTTCTATATTAACTTTGAAGCTGCCTGGATAGAGAAGGAGCTATGACATGAACAGCCACCTGCTAGTACAAGTCTTCAACACTGTTCTAAGAAATGAAGGGAAAAGAGTCCTCAAGAAACAAGGGGAGAACAAAACTATACTCTGTACTCTTACTCTTCCACCCAAAATGCCACCAACTCCATTCACTAACAAGGACATAGAAACAAACAGAACAGAAACAGAGGGGAAACTTATGGCCAACACATTTGCTTCCTTACTTCTGTAACTGGATATTGGGCTTTGGCAAAACAAAGCTCTGATTACATTTAGACCATTTCTTTTCATATGACTCTGTTCTTGGCCTCCAAGCAGTCAGGCAATTGGGGTGGGAGAGCAGGGGTGGAAGAGGATTACTGATTAACTTTCTTGACTGGAATTCACCTTTCACCTGGCTAACAGTAAACATGTAGAATATAAATACATCCTGGGAAGTTCTCCATTCCTCTTAAAAAGTAAACCTAATTAGTATTTTCTGAATAGCTAAGGTGATGATATTAATCCCTCAAACACCTGGGCTTTGAGCCTGCAAGTGACCTGGTGTCCTTCAGTCTCACTGCCTGAAGGAGGATTAGCAGGACCTAATCTGAACAGTGGCTTTCTCAAGACATTCCAGCCCACATAAGTGGTGCTCCTTTTGTTTTTTGTTTGTTTTGTTTTTGAAAGTATTAACCATTTTTAAATATCTATCTCCCTCTTGTGTCATGGATCTGTATTTTTCTGGAGGTGTATAATCAACTAACCACCCTTTCCTTTCCACCAAGGAAATAAAAACAAACCACTGATATTTACTCAACTGCACTGCACTTCTCAACATGATCTAGTTTTATGACTATTCCCATGTCACTGCATCATGAGTGGCATCATGAGGGTATCAAAAAGGACTCAGCATATAGAGACCAATCAAAATGACAGTCACAGAGATCACAGGGAAGAAAACCTGACAGTCACCTGACAGTTCTGATCGTCAGTTCTGATCGTCTAGGTTAATCACTTAATGGGATGGGACAGTAAATTATGACACATGCCCATGTCAGGTCCAGGCTAAAGGGCCTGCCTGTATAAGGTAACAGTGAACTCCTGTGAGCTTATGTCTATTAAGAATAAACATTTACATTTATTAAAAAGGTAAGTAGTCTTGTTCCTTAATTCCACCTCCTCCACTGCCTCCTTTCTTATCAACTCAGTGAAAGTTTAAAGGCAAACAAACCAAAGAGCAGCCAGCCTTGTGGGGTCCACTGGGACAAAGGTAGGATCTTTTCTGCCAGGGATACTGCTGACATGACGGAAGAAGGAGCCACTTACCTTAAATCTGTCGGCAGCAACAGATGCTTCTGAGAGGGATTTTACTGAGAACGGTGTTACTTTCAAAGCAAAAGTCATAGAATTGAAGACAGTCACCACTGTGAAAGCCTGAAAATAAGAAAAAAGAAGAAATTGAGTCTGATTAGGCTATGCAACTAAAATAACAAGTCATAACACACTTCCTTTCAGGCTTAAGGAAGGCTGCAGCTTAATTGTGAAATGTTACTATAAATCAGATACATTTTTTAAAAGGTAGAGTTTCTATGAGACCTTTAATTACAATTCTCAGTAAACCTGACCAAAAGATGATCTGTATTTTCAGAATTAAATCCAAACTCAAGACTGACTAAAAACAACCTGTACACTATTTGTACATAAGGACTGAATCTTCCCTCTTCCATTTTTTGGCTCAATCACATGAATGAAAAAATACCTTCTAATTTTGGGGGGAACCTCCAAATCCATTAAGAGGACCAGGGCATCTCCATGAGTGGTATTACTGACACGTTCCCCAGCCCTGAGGGCTCACTGACCTGTGCTGCTGTCAGATCGAAGCCAAGGGTCATGTGGACTGAGAAGGTCACCACGCTAGCGATCACCACCACAATGGGAGCCACGCCAACAGTGATGCTCTGAAAGTACCCAGCTTTTTCCAATATCCGACGCTCCTCCTCTCGGATTTCTAATAAAAAGCAAACCAATTTCTAAGCAAATGACACGAAACCTGGAATATTGATCTACTTGCTACTAAACAGGACTCTGTAGGTCCTCAGCCACATATCATTCTAAAACAGCCCTTTAACACCTATAATGTAAAAGCTAGATCAATACGACTATTAAATACTATCATTAAAGAATAAGCACTGGCACACAAGCAAAAAGCAGTCACTCCATATCAATAAAATGATTAGCATCTGCTTCTTTCTAATTCTTCTTGCAAGCTTTTTTTTTTAATGGTTAGAGGGAAAGAGCACATTGATTGTACTTGCAATTGGCAATTTGTTCACCTGGTTGTTGCTTATTTTCTGCTTGGGGAATTATAGGACACACTATACACACAACAAAGAGCTCTGGTGGCACAGTGCCTAAGGCATTTGACTGCTAGCCAGAAGGTTAGAGGTTCAAAACCACCAGCTGCTCCGTAGAAGGAAGATGGGGCAAACTACTCCTGTAAAGATTTACAGCCTAGTGGAAACAATTAGTCCAAGCAAGTGGTACACCATGCGATCCGCAGCCTATATGACTATACGAGCAGAACAACTAGATGGTGCCAGCTACCACTGTCAACCACTCGGAGAGGGATCTATGTAGGAGATCCTGGATAGAGTGGAAGAACAATGTGGAACAAAACTCAAAATCATTTCGGGGAGGAAAAAAAAAGGGGAGGACACCAGGTTTGCTGGTCTGATAGAGCCTGGTAGAACCACTGAGACTATGGCCCTAGCTGCCCTTTAGGTCTGGAATTGAACCCATACCTGTGGCTTCCACCCAAACAAAAGACAGGCATAGGAGTTGAACATTTACCTGAGGTAGATACACTCTTGGAGAGAACAATCGTGGCAGAAAGAAGGGCTGTGTATGCACAGGGAGACAGCTCAGGGGGCAGGAGTGCATGGAGGGATGGACACAGGGAAGAGGTAACTATTAGGAGAAAGTGGGAGGGGAGCTGTTGCCTTGGGGTAAATTATACTCAGTCATGAGACAAAGTGTATGTGAACTGCTATATGGAAAGTGAATTTGCTCTGTAAACTTCACCCAAATCACACACACACACACACAAAAAGAATAAATTTCAAAAGAGAATAACAACAACAAAAAAGGATTTACAGCCTCAGAAACACAATGGGGGTTGCTATGAATCAGAATTGACTAGATGAATGTTTTTTTTTTTTTTTCTTTCTTTTTTCCCAGGATACATACAACAGCAACAGAGGACACAGAAGGAGTTAACATTTCCCAGAATGTCCACTGTATGTTCACACTGGGTTGGAGGCTGTCATACAAAAAAAGCAGTAAGGATGATTAGAAAGAAGGTGGGTGAAATACAATTTTGGTAAGCAGAATGATAATTCTTAAAATATTTGCAAAACTCACACCCTTAATAACAGAGTGAAGATTGAGTACTAAAGACCATGGATTAGGAGGTACAACAATTAACATGGTGAGATATTTTTAAACAAACTTATAAATAAAAAAGTAATTATTCTGAGAGGCTACGCACTGACTGTGAATGTATTACCACTGCCCAGGACATTGGGAACTATCTTTAGAGTTGGTTTATAAGTCATATATAAAAAAATCAAACTCATTGATTTAAAGTTTATCCCATACCATGTTTGTGTCTACAATGAACAAAAATGCTCTTTTCAAATTTAAACACACAGGTAAAGATACCAAAGTCAGGGGCTGGGGGGTGAGCAGAATCTCAGAAAGATCATAAAATTATTATAGAGTCTAAAAGCCCGAAGGGACCATCAGTGGTCACCCTGTCAACAACATTCTTGGTGCAAGTCCACTTAGCATTCATTTGTTCCAGTACAGTGGTCCCTAGCTCACTAAGGAAGCAGCCCAATCCACGGCTGCACACCTATGATGTATGCCCTAGCTTCATAGCCCTTACAAATAAAGTACAAATCCTACAACTGGGCATACTTCCTCTGAAGGTTTAATCAGCAAACCAAGCAGAGAAACAGCTTCCTTGATCTGAATACTATTCTACTCAACCTCAGATTGCATTGTATCTCCAATTTTAGTATGATAAAAAATACATATAACATGCAATTTGTCATTTTAACCATTTTTAAGTGTACATTTCAGTAGCATTAATTACATTCACAACCTTGTGCAACCATTACCATTATATATTTCCAAAACTTTTTCATCATTCAGGTAGAAACTTGATACATACCCATTAAAAAACTCTCAATTTCCCCCTCCCCACAACCCTACTAGCTTCTAATCTACTTTCTGTTTCCATGAATCTGCCTGTTCTAGGTGTATCATGTAAGTGGAATCATACATTATTTTTCCTTTTGTGTCTGGCTTATTTCACTTAGCCTAATGTTTTCAAAGTTCATCCAAGTAATAACATGTATCGGAACTTCCTTCCTATTTATTCCATTACATAGCTATGCCACATTTTATTCATTCATCTACTGACGGACACTTGGATTGTTTCCACCTTTTGCACGTGAACTTTTTAATAGCGATGTATTCAGCTAGCTCGCTATGAGACTTTAGTCAATTAGTGGCCCAATTTTTTTTTTCTTTAAATTAAGGTCAAATATAATTATGTATTTTTTATGCCTTATTTTTTGCTGTATATATATAGTTTTTAACTCTAAAATACCTTTAAAATATTTTCCTTAAACTTTACCTTTTTTATAAAGCCCATCATTCCAACTTTAGTTAAGATCTTTTCCAATGCCCAATCTATACTAGTCATATCCCTCACAGTTTTATATCATTTACATATTTGACAGGCTTATGTCTGCATCAGATTTACTGATCAGGATAGGGCAAAGAATTAAGGACTCTGTATCTCAACATAAATCGGTTACTTAAGCGAACAAGTGACGGTATCTAGTGAGTGTCAGAGCTAGGAACAAGAGTTTAGCTGTCCAGTGGTTCTTACAGCACATACCTCAGTCAGGGTCACAGAACACTACCTTTGGTGCATAAGTAATTATACAGGGTTGGAGGCAAAGAACTCCTTGAGTCATTTGATACCATTTTCTGTGATATCCTCGTGGGAAGGCTAGAAAATCACGGGCAGAATGAGTTATTCCTAACTTGTGTTATCTTAGGACTTTCTTAGGTCACTGGTGAGGTAAAGATATAGGTTCAAATCTCTAAGTTTCCTTTCAATGTAAACACTCTATGATATTATGATCCTATGACATTAAGATTCCTAGTATCGAATGTGCCAAGGCACCAAAGTGTGTGGATAATGAGAGCCAAAGAATCCAAAGTACTTCACCATTATATACATGTGAAATCTTTTTACACTCACTTTGAACACTCTGAGAAAATGCTTTCACCCAGGCATACATTTTAATAAATTTAATGTAGGTGAGGACTTCATTCATCTTCTGGACACGGTCGTCTGTGGCGGCCACACATTTTCTCCTGAAATATGCAGTGAACCGTGACGCAAACATCTGAAAAGAAAAGTGATGTCCTGCCGAATTAGAGCTCATTCAAACTTACGAACTGCCTAGCTTTCCTGGGAAATAAATCAGTTACTCTAAATAAAGTGTGCACATAAGCCTGTTTTCTGGATCAGGCCATCTTTCATGTAATTGTGCTGTTTTTTAATGAAAGGGTTCTACTAAATTATAATCAAATATTATTTCATTCTTATCCCTTTGTAAGGCAATTAAAATAAATGAATATTTGTTCTCATATTAATCGTAGACGTTGAGTACTCCCAAAGGGGATGCAGGAGAGCCCTATCAGCTAGCACCAACTCAGGACAGAGTAACCTCAACACTCTGCGTTACTTGGGAACACCTGCTGGTCTTCTCCTTCATGCAGGCTTTCTTTTCATCTCACTAGGAGCCACTGCTTTTATGCTCTCACTACCTCTCAAGTAAAAAATCTGCCTGTATAAACTGAGCACTCTTTTCAGACTTTTCCAAACCAGCACTCGCTTTGAGGAAATTGCCAATCAGAGCTGTGATACCTCAGTGATGACTAATAGAGCCCAATGGAAGTAATGATCTCCCAAGGAGAAGCTGCCACGATAGGAGGATTACTTACCATTGCTGGATAAAAGAGGATAAAAACAGCTGATCCCAGGAAGCCCGTTGGTCCCAGAATGATCACATTATAAATCATGCCTAAGATGGCAACAACGGGTCCTCCAGCCAGTAAGCTGCCAACAGCAGCTGCTTCAAACATCCTCTGCCCATCGCTGGAGCAAATGTTGATGAGCTGTGGAACAGAGAGAGCAGTGAGAGCCCTCTGCAAGGATACAGACCACTTATCTCAAGAGGAGGCTGAAGAATCCTATTACTAGGTATATATCCAAAGAAGTGAGAGCCAGGACATGAATAGATATGCACACCCACGTTCACTGCAGCACTATTTACAATAGCCAAAAGATGGAAACGACCTAAGCGACCATCAACAGAGGAATGGATAATCAAACTGTGGTACATAAATGCAATGGAATACTATGCAACACTAAAGAATAATGTAGAATCTGTGAAACACCATATAACATGGGTGAACTTGGAGGACATTATGCTGAGTGAAATAAGTCAATCTTAGAAGGAGAAATATTGTATTAGTCCACTGTAGTAAAGAGTCAAGGAAAGGTTTATATATGGAAAGAAACTTTTTTTGTTGGTTAACAGGGATGGGAAGGAAAGGGAAGAAAAACCGCTAGACAGGTTAAAAACAAACAAACAAACATATATATAAACCAAAGATTATTAGTGGTTACCAGGGGTAGGAGGGAGGGGGAAAGGGGTAGCTTTTGTTTGTAGGACATTGAGTTTATGTTAATGGTGGTGGAATATTTTGGAAAGGATAGCAATAATGGTGGCACAACAAGAAAAAAGTCATCAATGTCCCTGAGCTGTAAATGGGAAAGTTGTTATGTGGGTGAATGTCTTGGTATGTACATTTTCACCACAGTAAAAGTAAAAAGAAAAAAGAGGAGGCTGAAGGACAAAGCAGGGCCCCAAAGGGAAAAGTGAGCCCAAGCTGGCAACTTGCTCTCTGCCCCAAAACAAACATCCTCACTCACCTCACCCAGAGACTTCTCTTTAATGTTCTTTAACTTAAGGATCTTCTTAAACGCCATGGTTAGGATGGCCCCCCGCAAACGGACACCAGTTCGGTAATTCAACGCCCAAGTCAGTGCAAGCGACCAAGACCGCACAATTTCTGTCAGAAGGAGGCCCAGGACTAACAGCAAACTGTAGCGCAGGTTAGACTCTGTTGCCTGGGTGTACTCCAAGAGGTGTTTCACCATGAAGGCCTACAGGGAGAAATATAAACCACTGTCAACATCTCCACAGCACCCACACACAATGCCACAGTTTTGTGTTAAGTTAGAAAGAGTAGGCTGCTCCATTGTAAAGTGATATTTACGCAAGCAAAGAAAAACCTCCTTGGAGGACCAAATAGTACTGACAACCTGCCTGCAGTGGTTGACTTAGGGCATTATGCAGGAGGTAGGTCTAATTTGAAACTCTGTTCCTTAAGGACACCATCAAAACCATTACTCTTTCTAATGTAACATAAACCTGTCCGTGAGCTGACATTCATTCTAAACACTTGTTCATCAAAAGCATATATTTGACTTTATTCCAGTATTTCCACACAGTGATACATTTCTTTAAGTGAAATTAAAACCTTTTTTGGATTGTTTCAAACGTGCTTATTTGATAAAAAGGAACAGTGTACCTACAGTTGTACTGGGGAAGAGTGAGAAGTGCATTTGCAAAACATTCCTGAAAATAAACATCAGCAGTTTAATGGTACAGAAGAGAGCAAACAAAGCAGTCTATCAAAAATCCAGACACCCTCCCCAATGGGGGGCCCTCCCCCACTCCCCACTCCCTCCCAAAAACAAAAACATGTTACCTCAGGTAGCATATGTCTAACACCACCTGCAGAGAGGGAAGGCAGCCAGCCCCCAAGAACCACCGATTGCCACCTCCAGCTCTGAGGTCCTGCAACGCCGGAGCACACACTCACACAAGGCACATTCAGCAACAGTATTGAATACCAGGAGGTGGGAAGTAACGTACTTTTATTGAAAATCAAAAAATAAATAAAGAAAAGTACCATCTTCAAAGAGCATCTCACAAACACTGTACAACAGGAGGAGCATTGCAGTAACATACAATGGGAACATACAGAGTCGAGTTATACAAGGCTAGCCATCTAACAGGTCATCTGGCCTCCCAACTATTGTTTTAACTACACACAATGGAAATACAGAATAGAACCAACATCCATTTCCAGAGTCCGAAGTAGTACATCAAGCTGAGAGCACTTAATTGGTTAGGGCTCCTGGAGTCGCAATGATTCTGCAATGGAGTAGATATTCTCTAGGAATAAAGACCTTGCTGCTAAAGAAAGAGAATTAAAACAGAACAAAAAAACAAAACAAAACTGAAAATGCCCCAAAGAGGTACTCTGTTTAAAATTGCTGGTGCTAGTGGTTCACTAGGCTGTGAGGAATTACCTCTGCTCTGGACTGAATACAAAAATCTAGGCCCCAACGGGAAACTGGTGGCATCCTTCATAGTCTTTGCAAGTCCTTGAAGCTAAAATTGATTTTGCCAAAAATTAAACAAAAGACAAACCACAACAAAAGAAAGCCAAACTGATCCCCCACCCTGAAGGGAGAAAAAAAAAAAACTCAACGAGAAACCCGTCCATCCCATCTATCCCCATTCCTTATAGCAAAGGTTACTGCAGTAGTAAGCCAGTGCTGAATGCCAGACAGCACTTTAGGCCAGACGCAAGAGTCCTGAGGTAGCTAATGCTGCATTCCAGAACCCAGATTCCCTCTGGATTAGTTTGTATTTCTCCTTTTCCTGAGAGTAAATTAATACCAGGTGTCCACTAGATCCTAGGAAACCCCACCAATCAAATTTATGTCAAGTCCCAGTAAATAACGTGATTGAATAAGAGATTTCCAATTCAAAAAAACTATTATATTCCACCTCTCCCCCACCTCAGATTTTTAGGTTTATTTATATCCATTGTTTGGGTCACAACTGTATACAGCTGGGTTGTTGGTTTACTAGCAAGAAGATGGGCTTCTTTTCCAGTATGCAATCCAAAATGTGGAACTGAGTCACTGCATGGCAGGGTCAAAGCCCCCTTTTCCTCTCGTGAAGCAACTCAGTAAGATGGCGGTGCAGTAAAGCATTTTCTCACACACCACGGCACTGATGGACCAGTCTCCAAAGGAAGGCGTGAAAGGACAGCAGGTTGTTGGTTTGGGTTCCTTCCTTCCCAACCTTTATAGTGCCATTTTTTCAGCACAGGGGTAATAGCATCAGCACCTCCCAGATGGGAGGAGCAAGGGAAGGTAAAAGACATAATGAATGTTTATACTATGCAAAACTTTCAAAGGGGGGGAAAAAGAGGAAACAGCAGATTAAAGAATTTCCAACACATAGGGTTTTAAAAAAACAGTCACATTTCAAACCATTTTGTATGGGAAAAGAAAAAGAAGGAGAAAAAAAAAAAGTTTGCATGAAAAATCCAACCAAAACACTTAATTTTAAAAAGTTACAAGTTTATCATTTAAATTTAAACAAACTGGGAGAAAACTTGAGATTGTCAGTATAGCTGTCTGGCTGTGGAAAGCATTCCCAGTGAATAAACATTACCTTACCTGAACTCTTGGCGAGAGATTCTGCCCAGCTTGACTCTCTCATTCTGACCGCAGAATACAGCCATCCTGAAAATTCTAAAGAACAGCTTCTGTCACTGGTTCCACTACAGAGACTCCCCCCAAATCCAGATCCTGACAGCACCAAGCAAGCTGCAGCTGGAGAGAGGTTGGAAGGGTGGGAAACTTACCTCACTAAAGGGCTTTTCACTGTCCTTTCCCCAAAAGGCCCTCTGGGAAAGTTAGCATTCACCAGAGAGAGGCACTGCAGGAGGCAGCCTTCACTTGCGCATCTACAGGCAGATGCTAATTCTTTACACACAAATCGGAGGTCAGGCCCAGTCCTTTAAAACTGTCTTAGTCCAAGAAGGCTCCAAAGTATCTCTTTGGAAGCTCATCTTAGGTCAGGACCATCCTTCTAGACTCTGGTGCTCCGTGGACATAATCATGACCCCTGGGTGCCCTGCACAGAGCTCTGGTCCTCTGGCATCAGAGAAACTTTCGGGTCAGTTTGATGCTTAAATGCCCAGGCAATTTAAAAAAATTAAAAAAACCCCAACATGATTGTGTTCCAGATATAGCTACAAAAGTTCAATGAGGCCTGAGGGGAGATAAGGGAAGTGATGCTATATTTGGGGCGCCCATCTTTGGGAAGTCTGTCCTTATGTACATTTTTGTAAGAACAGACGAAGCCAGTTTGAAAGTCATGCCAGATCAGAAAATGCGCAAAAATCAAAATGAGTGTCCCTCCAAGGGATTTAAATCCACGGACAGAAGGTGGGCTCACTGCCAGTACTAATCTCAAAACCAGCCTGGTTCTTCAATTTCCAATTTATAAGGAATGTATTAGAATCAGAACAACAACAACAAAAAAGAAATTTGGACTGGTGACACCTTTTAAGTCTTTTATCAATAAAAAAGACTGTGGACAGGTTCACTGCTTTTTCAACTTGTGCTGGAATAGAATCTCATGAAAGAACACTGACCTTAAGGTGCTCTTCCCCAAGAGGGCAGAGAAAACCAAAGGCACACTGCTGTTTTCCTATTAAAGGAGGGCTCTCAGCTTTCTCTGGTGTCTACAACAGTTTACTAGAGATTAGTATTCCAGTGCACTGCGCCTTAAAAGAGTGATCAAGGGATGTGCAGGTGCTCAAAGGAGTGACCAGAAAGCCACAAAGTGAACATGCATAGGTAACTTTTTTCCCAAGAGAAAAAAATCAAAATCCCAACAATCCATGTTTTTTGTTTTTTTTTAATGGGGGAGCCAATGAATTTCTTACACTGAGCAAATGGAATCAAGAAAGCCCATTATCACCTTATTGACAAAGCCAGTATACCTCCACCCAGCTGAAAGAATTCTATGAAAGATCAGAGCAGCCACCAGCCCTGTAGTGAAACAATGACAGAAGCTCTTCTTGGTGGAAGCTGGTTCTATGAAAATATTTGCCATTTGGGACAATAACATAACATAACATTTCAGTTACATGGTCCCTCTTGCTTAAAAGTTACATAAAAGTATGTCAGTTAGTCAATTAACATAGAAACCCAATAGCAGAAAAGTAGTGTTCTCTGCTTCAGAAAAAAAAAAGATCAAAACTTTAAAAAAAAAAAAAAAAAAAAAAAATTAAAAAAAAAAAAAAAGGAAGAAAGGATCAAACATTAAAATAAATAAAGAAAGAAACCTCTGCAAATTAGTTTTACCTAATTACCATGCATCTTAGGTATATACTTACCAAAACCATGAACCTTCAGCTTACTCACACACGAAAAAATGCACAGTGTAAGCAGTACTACTGCTCCGATGCCTCAAGGCAAATGTGTAGAAAATAGGTTTAATTGAAGTCTCAAGTGTAAAGCAGCACAGCGGGTGTAAGAAACGAGTGTCCGGAAAACAGTGTGAAGGTCAAAGGCTCTCTTCGCTCACTCTGCTTTGGTACAGACTAGGAAAAAACCACGCTGACACCCCAACACTCGCCACACAGTTTATACTACCAGCCAAAATTTAACGGACTCCAGGTCAGACTCTAAAAACCTCAACAACCCTCTAGCTTCTTCAGGGCTCACTTGCCAAAGAACCGTCAAACAACTTGTGGTCACTCTGCCCCTGTGAACCAAGCCGGTCATTTGGTACATCACTACTGCCAGCTCACCAGCCTGTGCCACACAATGTTGCTCTCACCCACTCACAGCACTACTGAACCAAGACTGTCATTTCACGTCAACGCGCAAGCGAGAAACACAATCCTGTTCAGAACGAGAATCGGTTCAGTTTCACCCCCACCCCTGGAAAGCAAGCCAGCTCCATTTCTCCTCTGGCGGTACCGCCCCTTCTCCTTTCAGCTGCAGACAAGCCACCAATCACTCCAAAGTCAATCATTCCCTTTCAACAGACCTGGAGGCATTACTAAGGCTGCTAACTAGCCCAAACGTAAGTACAAAACCCCTGCAACAGAACAAGAGTGTTAGAGCTGGCCATGGCCGGACCCCTGGAGACTGTCAGAAAGGATGGTTAGAACTTACTGGTCCACTGAAGCCAGCCAGCTGCGTGATCATCAGGCACACGATGGAGAGGATGAGCCTGGTGCGGCAGAAGATCCACACAACCCTTCGGAGGGAAGCAGCGTCTGGCCCAACGTCATTCAGCTCTTCTTGCCACAGTCTCTCTAGTCTTAACAAGGGCACATGTCCTCTGTTACACATCTCTACAGATGAAAAGACATACCCTAGCTTCCCTCCTGCCATTGCTTTCTGTCTCCAGGCTTTGAAACTACTCAGACAAGTCTCTCCTAAAATTATGTACATAGTTTCCACCTCCACAGCTCTGGAAAAAAATGCCTTTCTTGGATAACTACATATATATATATAACTATTTTCTTGGATAACTACATATATATATATATTTTTTGGCTCTTGGATGACTACATATTTACTCTACATAGGGAGCCTCTAGGACTTGGAAAAGGATGAGAGCAAAATAAGTCCTTTCTTCCACCCGGAAAAACTGTCCCTTAATAAAATTTGTTTGTGGATAAGAACTTCCTTTCTCAAGGGTCCCCAGCCCTCTCTGAAGGATCCTGCAGTAAAATGTAAAGTCGTAAACTAGATTTTAATCATGACAATCAGCTACCACAAAAATGTATTCTGTCACAAGGCAGCAACATAACCTCCCTGCGGACTCAGGAAGAGAAGCGGGGCTGAGAGAGAGAGAGAAAGCCCGTGGTTAAAACAGGATTAAAGCTGAAATTGGAGATAAAGCAGAAGAGCAAAGAGTAAGTCATCCCCAGGCATCCCACCCCCCACAGGATAGCTCAGATCTTAAAAGGACACCGAGCTGTGGACTTCACACTGCTGGGCCCACACTCCTAGCTCAGGCCCTATGTATCCAGTATGTGGGAGAGGAGGGTGGATCAGAGACGCCTACCTTCTACAGTTCACATCGGAAGACTCGTACTTGGATAAAGACCACACGTCTTCCAGCAAGAGCTCCCCCTTCTTGTGGGCCACGCTGGCCAGAGGAGAAAGCCAAGAGAAAGTCATAAGGGAGAAGAGCCCAGCATTGTCCACTGGGTGCTGGTGTCTATGGAGAGAAAATCCAAATTACCAACCTCTCAGCATAGAGGCTGGCCAGTATGCATAATCCTGCTTAGAAAACAGAGTTCCTGACTAAACACATGTCTCCCCAAGTGGTCTGATCTTAGCCCCAAAGTTTCAAAAACGCTTTTGATGCTTCACAGATGAACCACAGAGCCTCTTACTTGGAAGTGGTCCGGATGGGCTTTAGAGCACTTAAGCCTTGATGGTACTTTCCCTTGGGATGGTCCTCATCCAGGATTCTCAGCTGAGAATGCACAGAGACATCCAGGGAAAGACCCTCAGCTCGGGCTGCTGTTTCCAAGGCATCCTGGCATTCCAACTATTTTAACAGATAAGAAGACAGGCAAAAAACAGTTAACAAACATTAGAAGAACAAGGGACAGGCAAATCTAACTGATATAACAACTCAGATTGTAAGCCAGATTCATCTTAATTGAGAAATCAGGAGGTTAAACACTAGGTTTGTATGATGAGAACTTGCTAAGGAACATTAAACAAGATATTTAAAATTTATATTTTGATCATTAGTATGTTTTAGCTTTCACTTCCCAGTGTGGACTGACAGTTACTTTGCTACCAATTGCAAATTCCATTGCCCACTTTCTACAACAAAAACTTCACAGTCACCTCCAACTAAATGGCCCTGTCATGCAGAAAGAGCCAAGAGGCACACATGGCTCCTGTCTCTCTGCCTTATCAGTAGTTGGGAGAGCAGAACATGGGTCTCCACCCTGGCTGCAGTTAAGGAGCTCCAATACCCAGAATTCCCTGCAGTGGGAAGGAGAAGTACAAAGTCAAAGTACAAAGTCACACATATTTACTAGGAAGCTTACAAATGTCACTTAAATTAATAAAAACCGCACATAATTCAAAGTCTGACTATGGCAGAGGAGGGTGGGCTAAGATTCTGGACATATATATGCCCATTTATTCTAAAAGTAACCTCAAGGTTATGTCTTCCTATTACAGAAGCATCATTTCCCTCAAGAAAGGATGATAGGTGCATCACCCTTTCCTCCCTGAGTAGTGAAGTGCACATGATCACAAATATATTGCCAGCTATTATTGTCAAGTAGCTAGAAAAAATAGATCCCCGAATCAAGGAAAAGCTAAGTGGTGCACCACCTAACACACTTAAGCCTTTAGGGGTAAGGAGGCATTATATCTGCAACCTACATTCAAAGAGTTTGGGAAAAAAAGAGGTATACACACACACACACACACACATATGTATATGTATGGGAGCTCTGGTAGCGTAATGCCTAAGGTACTTGACTGCTAAGCAGAAGAGTGGCGATTCAAAGCCACCAGCCACTCCTCAGAAAGAAGGTTGGGCAATCTACTTCCGTAGTGATACTGCCTCAGAAACCCAAGGAGGGGTTGCTGTGAGTCAGGTCACTCAAAGGCAAATAACAACAACAACGTGTGTGTGTGTGTGTGTGTGTAGATAAGGAGAGGGAAAGAAATAAAGCAAATGTGGCAAAACGTTAATTGGGAAATCTGGGTGGAAAGGTAAGCAGGAATTCTTTGTACTGTTCTTGAAACTTTTCTGCTAAGTTCAAAATAAATCGTTAAAAACTAGTTATTTCTATCAACAAAGTGAATAGAACCTACAGATTGGGAGGAAATTTTCAGGAACCATATATCAGATAAGGGACCAATATCCAAAAAATATATAAAACTTACACCACTTTACCATAAAAAGGCAAACAACCTGATCAAAAAAACTTGAACAGTTTACCAACGAGGATATTCAAATGGTCAAAAAGCACATAAAAAGATTACATGATTAGCCATTAAAAAACAAAACAAAACAAAACAAAAAATCCATTGTCATCAGTAGATTCCAACTCACAACAACCCTACAGAACATAGAACTTCCTCATAGAGTTCCCAAGACTGTAAATCTTTATAGAATCAGACTACCATGTCTTTTTCCTGGGCAACAGCTGGTGGGCTTGAATCACCAACCTTTTAATTGGCAGGTGAGCACTTAACCACTGTACCACCAGGGCTCCTTCATTAGCCATTTCAAACCAAACCCACTGCTGCCAAGTTGAATCCAACTCCTAGCAACCCTACAGGATATAGTAAAAGTGCCCCATAGGGTTTCCAAGGCTGTACATCTCTATGAAAGCAGACTGCCACATCTTTCTCATCACAGAGTGACTGGTGGGTTTGAATCACTGACCTTTTGGTTAGCAGCTGGGTGCTTTAACCACTGCACCAGCAGGGCTCCTCATTAGCCATTGTTGTTGTTGTTATGTGCCATCGAGTAGGCCCCAACTCATAGCAACCCCTCCTTGGGTTTCTGAGGCGATATCACTACGGAAGTAGGATTGCCCAACCTTCCTTCTGAGGAGTGGCTGGTGGGTTTGAACCGCCAGCCTTCTGGTTAGCAGTCAAGTGCCTTAGCCACTATGCTACCAGAGCTCCTCATTAGCCATTAGGGAAATGTAAATCAATACCACAATAAGAGATCACTTCACCCCAATTAGAACAACATCGATTAAAAAAAAAAAGGGAAACAAGTGTTAGAGAAGTTGTTTCTAATGGAACCCTCATTCACTGCTGGTGGGAAGGTAAAATGGTACAGCCATTTGGAAAACTGTTGGTGGTTCCTCAAAAAGCTGAACCTAGAACTACCAGATGACCCAGCAATCCCAAACCTAGGTACATACCCAGAAGAAATGAAGGTGGGAATATAAATAGAAACCTATATACCAATGTTCATTGCAGCACTTTTTCTTTTACAATGTAGGAGGCTAGAAATCTGAATTCAGAGTGCTGGCTCTAGGGGCGCTGGGTAAAGGCCCCTCAATCATGTGCTTCAGTTCTGCCTCTTGTTCCAGGCCCACTGGAGCTGAAGGTTCCTTCTGACTCAGCTACTAGCTACTGAGGCTGATGAACCTGGATTGGCACAATCCCAACATCACAGGCAACACAGCAGGCCACTGGTTCAAATCTAGGAACTGAAGATGAAGACTCAGCCAAATGCAGGATCCATATGTGACAAAAAGCTTGAGACCTTTCTTGAAGCTACTCCATATATACTGGAAGCAGGTCACACCCCAAAGGCAACACCTCTTCAACTGATTAGGTACTCACAGCAGATTCCACCATGGAGGTGATTACAATCTCATCATGAGGAATAACTGCCCAGCCGAGTTGACACATAACCTTAACTACCACACCCCTCAACAGATGAGTGGATAAACACACAATGTAAAATTACACAGCTTTAAAGAGAAATGAAGTTCTGATGCATGCCACAACATGGATAATCATTGCAAACGTTATGTCAAGCAAAATGAGTAAGTCACAAAAGGACAAATACTGTATGATCTCACTAATATAAAATAAGCAAATATACAGAAACCAAAGATTATTCATGGTTACCAGGATGGGAGAGTGGGGAAAAGGAGGATTTTCTGTTTGGGGGCATTGAATTTATGTTAATGGTGGTGGAATACTTTGAAAAAGGATAATAATAACGGTGGCAATCAACTTCTGTAGTGATACCGCCTCGGAAACCCAAGGAGGGGTCGCTATGAGTCGGGTCTGACTTGACAGCACATAACAATGGTGGCACAACATGAACATGTAATCAGTATCACTGAATTGTAAATGCAGATGTTGTGCTGGCAAACGTTTTGGTGTATATATTATCATCACAATAAATAAATTATGTCTACTAATAACATTTAAAAAAAAAACTATCCTGGCCATTTTCATACAAGATAGTAAGAAGCCAAAAAGTACAAATAGGAAGAGATAACTGGGGACTACTACAGAAATCCTGGCATAGTATGAAGACTGACTCAGGTGAACTAAGTTCAAGAGTTAGGAGAGTTTTGTGAACCCCTTGTGACATTACATCACCTTTTGACTAGTACAGCTTCACTTGCAGGCTTACATGAGAATGGCATACCAGCATTAAGAGGGAACTAAAATCTTTACATCTTCTTTCATTTAGTCTTTTTGCAAATAACATATTGAGCACCTACTATATGCCAGACTGTTGTGATGCTGGGAATAAGAATAAGGCAATCTTTATGCATACCAAAAAAAACCAAACTCACTGCTGTCCACTGCTGTCAAGTCGAATCTGACTCATAGCGACCCCTCCTTGGGTTTCCAAGGAGGTATATCTATGGAAGCAGATTGCCCAGTCTTCCTTCTGAGGAGTGGCTGATGGGTTTGAACCACCACCCATAGAACACAACAATTTCGTTTTCTCGTCTCCAAAAGGCCGAGTTACAGTTTTCAACAAAAACCTATTAATAGAAAATTAATGGACTTAAAAAAAAATTGCTGTGATTGCTCCTTTGACTACATACAGCGACGTCAGGTTCTACCACATCCTGGGTAGTAAGCAACCTTCCACATCTGAGAAAGCCAAAGTCAAAAGCCCTCACAAAGATTCCAAGGAAAGCTGGAGGCAAGGTTCATTCCCCCAGGCTTATCATGAGTACAGTGCTAGCACTACTCCACATCTGCAGATTGACAGAAAGCGAGGGTTCTTGTACCACCTTTGACTTTAAAACAAGGAACTTGGTACAATTTTATTCTGATAAAGACAAACCAATATAAAAGTGGCCAAATGGCACTAATTCTCCTTAAAATTCCATGTAATAATAAAACATGAAGTAGAATTCCCACATAAGGGTAATAAGGAAAAGTCTATATTGTTAATCCCAGAGAACTAAAACTTGCCACTGTAAGCTCCACACTTTCCAAGCTGTATCCCAGTTGTGGGTCTTTCCTAAACATTTTCCCAAATTGTCAACTGTGTTGTTACAATTTTAGTCACTGCCTACAGCAGAAAAATTAAATATCTGATGGAGATAAGATCCTCTCTTTTGAAGGAAATCCAGTCCTGTTCCCTACCAACACCAGCTCATACAGGGACAGGTTTCTTAAAAGGTTAAGCAACAGATGTTTATCTATTGGTAAGAACTCTTTAATGTCAAAATAATATTATTAGAAAAATAAAGAGAAAATAACTCTCTTACTCCAATAAAACCATCTCCTCTTCTGTCTTAAAGTTTCAACACTGCTATAGACAGAATTTTCCCATACATGGAGGCCATAGTGAAGTACAGTGATTCTGAACCTGGGTCCGCATGCTGATTCACCTGGCCACTTTGATCTTCAGTTTATTCATTTGTACAATGGTCCATGCACCTACCACACAGAGCTGAGAGGAATTAATGGGATAATGAGAAGCGCTTACCAAAGTAGAGGAGCTCTGGTAGCACAGTGCCTAAGGCATTTGATTGCTCACCGAAAGGCTGGTGGTTTAAACTCACCAGGCAC